ATTTTCAGTACAAATCGGCAATTTCATACTTTAACCCCTATTATTTAATAAGGTGCCTACAGATTTGCTCGACATTGTCGATCGACAGTAACGATTGAGAATTATAGACGTTTTCGAAGAGTTTTAGAGTGCTTATTACGAATGTAGCATTAATTTTTAATTCCAAGATGGTTGACAACAATTTTCAAAAATGTATTTTTGGTAAACCATAAGGAAATGGCATGTATATCTGAATACAAGACGGCGGACAAGACTTCTAATTCTTCTTCTTCTAATTCTTCGCCATCTTGGATTTAGAAATATGTGCTATATTCGGAATGAGCAGCCCCAAATACCTTGAAAACGACACCTAGCTTGCAATTATTGGAAAAATCCTGCCCGCCATCTTGGATTTAGAAATTAGTGCCATGTTCTTAATGAGCACCCCCAAATACCTCGAAAACGACACCCAACTTGCTATTATTTGAAAAGTCATGTCCGCCATCTTGGATTTAGAAATATGTGCTATATTCCTAATGAGCACCCCCAAATACCTCGAAAACGATCCCCAACTTGCCATTATATGAAAAATCGTGCCCGCCATCTTGGATTTAGAATTGAGTGCCATATTCGTAATGAGCACCCCCAAATACCTTAAAAATGATACCCATATTGCATTTATTTCAAAAGTCGTGCCCGCGTCTTGGATTTAGAAATAAATGCCATATTCGTGATGAGCACCTCGAATACCTCGAAAACGATTCCCATTTTGCATTTATTTGAAAAGACGTGTCCGCCATCTTGGATTTAGAAATGAGAAAAGTCGTGTCCGCCTTCGTGTATTCAGATATAAATGCCATATCCATAAGGTATACCAAAAATAAATTTTTGAAAATTCTAAACTTGACAAAATCGAGCAAATCTGTAGGCACCTCAAACTTAACGATGAGTTAAGCAAGATACAATTTCCCCACTTTTGAGGGAAATGTTATTCCATGGCATCATTATTTTGTATATTTGTGTGCGTGCGGACGAGCGTAAATACAAGTTACTTACGCCTACATGAATTTGATTTTTGCCTCACTTGTGACAGTACGTTTTTTATGAAACTATCATTCTATGCGTTATTATTGTAAGTATATATACATAAACACACATATATATAGATATATTATATACATATATATTATATATATATATATATATATATATATCTTGGTACTTGGTGCAACGGGCTGGTATCCGCAACTCGACGACAAAGCGCCTATTGTGTGGTAATATATATATACATATACCTGTATAAAAAAACAATCAGTTAATTGAAAAAATATTTTTGAAGGAAACAACGACATCATAAAGGTGAGGGAAGATGGAGTGAATATTAGGACGGTAGAATTCAAAAGTACAAAGAGAAATACAACGTCAAGATTGTGTCCAGAACTCAACTAAAATTAACAAATGACTACTGTATCCAGATAAGTAATTTTATATAGAAAACGGATCACTGAACACTCATTACATCGCCGGTCACGAAATAATAAAGTATCGTAACGGGCCGTCGATGGTACAACACCGTGGACACTTGAGAGAGTCACCTCTATGCGGTCAAAATAGCTCATGATGAAGTGATTTTAGAAGCACGGCTGCTTAGCCAATGATGAAACGCTTACCTGTGTATACATATTAAATAAAGACCTCTAGAATATTACCACCTCGAATTGTTTAGCAAATCGAAACGTACAAATGGAACTTGTTTAACTGGGAGTTACTCACCTTCATCACAGGGCAATCGGTAAAAAAGTAGGTAAAACACAGTCAACAAATAAATAAAATATAACCAATATTCAAAAACGACCTAGACGTTTCTTTGGTTTTGACATTGACAATGCAATATTATTTTATATTTTTTTGAATAAAGGTATATATACTTACTAACCAGTTATAACTTATTTTATAGGCATGTGCACCTAGACTAGAATGATAAAACTCATCTATAATCAATGATATTCCATAATAGTCAAAGTAAAATAATTTTGAACGTATTTTTATTGACTATATTGTGCATAAATGGACAATGAACAAACTAATATGAATCAACAAAATTGAGTGATAAATGTACTGATTATGAAAGCCACCGCAATATTTTGCGTTTAATTCTCAGAATTTAAAGGAATAAATTTATGATGCCTGCAAAACTTACAACAACAGTATAGTGCACATTATCGGACACTTTCATTGTAATTATAATAATAATGTGCTAAACAACCACACCAATTACCTGATCTCAAGGAAGGAATAAGGAATTTACTGTACGATGAGTTCCAGCGCCTCGGAATTCACTCCGGAACACAACCACTTTAAAACATTTGACACGTTAATCCCGTACGTAAATGCCGTAAGACGTACCTGCATTCCCCGAAACACATTAAAATAAAGAGAAACTTAAAATCATACAAAAATTGTTAAAACGTATAGTCAATAGTATAGCTCGGTACTTGTTCACAGTTCACTATCGTAATTAAAAATTAATTCTTTTTTAATTAAACATTTAGAGATAAAATGCTACTCGCCACAATCAGCGCAGTTACGAAGCGTCTGCGACAATGACATTACTTACATACAAGCGATAACTGGCAGAGAGGAATAAAATCATGTACGCTTCTAATCATTAATATCGTTTCCACTCACGTGTCTATACAACATCTGCCACATTTTAACTTAAAGGTGCCTACAAATACGATCGACATTGTCGATCGATGTCGATCGTCAGAGTCGACAATGTCGATCGACAACGAGGATTATAGACGTTTTCGAGTTGTTTGGGAGTGCTTATTGAGAATGTGGCATTAATTTCTAAATCCAAGATGGTTGCCAAGAATTTTCAAAAATTTATTTTTGGTAATCCTTATAGAAATGGCATTTATATCTGAATACATGATGGCTGACACGACAAGCAGCTGGCAAGCTGGGTATCGTTTTCGCGATATTTGGGGGTACTCATTACGAATGTAGCACTTATTTGTAAATCCACGATGGCGGACACGATTTTTCAAAAAATGCAATATGTTAAATTGATATGTGAAATTAAAATGTAATGCAAAATGTAATAGAAGTTATTAAGAAAGACATGAGTTGGACTCCAATTACTGCGTTTGAGATTCGAAAGATTCTCAGGAAGATGGAGAGAAAAAAATCATCTGGTTATGATGAAATGCCCATTACAGTAATTCAAGATAATGTGGACATCCTGGCAGAACCGCTGTCTATGTTCTACAATGAATGCTATAATCAGGGAGTTTTCCCAGAACAATATAATAGAAAATAGCAAAGATTATTCCTATATATAAAAAAGGCAAACGAACAGATCCAATGAACTACAGACCTATATCTTTGTTACCAGTTTTAGCGAACACCCTTGAAAAGCTCATGAAGGTTCGTTTCCTGAATCATCTTGAAAGGAATAACATTTTAAACGTAAGACAATTCGGTTATCAAAGAAATAGAGGTACGAAGGACGCAGTGCACACACTTATTGATGACATTATAGTATCCCTAAATGAGAAAAAGAAAGTTTCTGGTCTTTTTCTTGATCTGAGTTCCGCTTTCGATACAATAGATCACGTAGCTCTGGCGAAAAAATTAGAACTGTATGGTGTACGGGGTAAAACATTGCAACTGTTTCAGTCTTATCTTAATAACAGATACCAGTTTGTGGAGGTCAATAGTGTTGAGTCTGAGGAGTTAGTGCAGTGCAAATCAAGGGCAATTAAAATTAAAAGAGGCGTACCATAGGGCTCTATTTTGGGTCCAATTCTATTTATTATTTTTACCAATGACCTAATTAAATTTATTGAAGACAAGTTCTCAAATGTAAAATTAGAAGTTTTTGCAGACGATACCAACGCTGTCATAACAGCTGAAAATTTAGTAAGCCTTGAGCTCAAAACTAATGAGGTCCTTTCAACATTCGATTTTTGGTTCAAAAATAACAATCTTGTCATTAACACGAGTAAGACAAACGTTTTATTGTTCCGAACAACTGCTAGAAACCACGAACATATGGACATTATGATGACAAATAAAATTATACCATTGGTAGAATCTGTAAAGTTTTTGGGAATTCACATTGACTCGTATTTAAATTGGCAGCCTGAACTTAGTAAATTAGAAAATAAAATAAGTTCAGCTTGCTATGCTCTTCGATCCTTGCGGGATGAAGCCTCTGTCGCCGACTTAAAAAGGGTTTATCATGCTATAGTCGAGTCGCATTTAAGATATAGCATCAGGTTTTGGGGTAACAGCTATGACTATAATGTAAAGAAAGCTTTTACTCTTCAGAAAAGAGCAATAAGAACCATAGCTAGAATTCCACATTGGGAGTCGTGTAGACCTTATTTTAGACAACTATCTATATTAACAGTTCCTTGTCTCCATATTTTGGAGTTGTTAACAGGCGTGACTGAATGTTCGTCTGAATTTAACAAGGAGATCGAGTCAGACAGGCTTGTTACTAGGAGAAAGGATAGACGTGGTGTAATAGCACCAAAGTTAAATATTATAAAGCATAGCCCTAGATACCAAAAAACAAAAATATATAATAGTCTCCCTAGTGAACTTAAAATGGTACAAGATCACGTATCTTTCAAAAAGCGTTTGAAACGTTTCTTATTGGAAAAATCATTTTATTGTATTGATGAATTTGTTGTGACATTAAATTAAATTGTATTTAACGAGGATAACGATTCATAATTTGACATTGTTATTGATTATTATTACTTGACATTATTGTATTATTGTTATTATTTTGCATTTAATTTGTATTGAACCATGCCGATGACACTTAATTTGACATAGTTATTGTTATTGTATTATTATAATTATTTTGCACAAATGACTAGTTAATATATTAATTTATTTTCGTTTTGTTATTTGGATATGATGTTAGATTCTAATTTTAATTGTATTTTCTTTTTTCCAACACAAAGAATATTGTTAAGGAAATTAAATAAATAAATAAATAAATTTTCGAGCTATTTGGGGGTGCTCATTATGAATATAGCACTTATTTCTAAATTCAAGATGGTGGGCACTATTTTTCGAATAATGGCAAGTTGGGTATCCTTTTCGAGGTATTTGGGGATGCTCATTACGAATATGGCACTCATTTCTAGTTCCAAGATGGCGGGCACGATTTTTCGAATAATGGCAAGTTGGGTATCGTTTTCTAGGTATTTGGGGGTGCTCATTACGAATGTAACACTTTCGATCAACAACTTTCGACAATGTCGATTATGTCTGTAGGCTCCTGATCGACACGATCGACATCGATGGACAATGTCGATCATATCTGTAGGCACCTTAATAGAATTTCTGATCGCTAGTGTGCGGTATCAGCAGATAATTCAGTTAACGCAATTAACGCTCCGATGCGGCTTCAGACTCGCGTAGCAGTGCCATATCGCCAGTCGTTAAACAACTTCTCACAGGAAGGGGAAATGGCCGAAGGTAAGTTTTATCCTGCTGTACATATTATAAGAAAATAAAAATCCAAGGGCATGACTGTTTAATTTCATCCTCTTGTGTGTATGTCATTTTTACGTGTTCCTCTAAATCGTGTTATTCGCTTTGCGGTGTTAGCTGTGCGAGTTAGTTAACAAATTGTGAGTTCATGTCATAAGTTGTATGTAGCTTTGAGTTTTCATTATAATATTGTTTGAACAAGTTTAAATTAAACCTGGACGCTAATTGGGATTTATTCTTATGTTAAACAATGTTGGTATAATACCGTTGGCCGGCAATGAGCAAACGACGGCCGGAGGGTGGAGGGCGGAAGACGGGAGGGTTGATAGGTTCTCAAATCTCTGTCGACTGTGACGAAAAGCACTCTCCCAAGGGATTTATGGGAAAATCTAAGACACATAATAGAAAAGTGGCTTTGCTATGCCTGCGGTAAGTTACAATCAGTTGCGTGCAACCAAACAACATAAAACATAACAACGACGTACAAAGTTGCGACTCTATCGAATTATTTATATTGTGTAAGAGTTATTTTTAGAATATATACCAAGTCAATTCCACGACAATCTCAATGACAAATAACAATTTGAAAAAGCCACACATATTTAATATTATTTCTTTTCCTATTGCTACGAGATTTGCCTTATTGGAGATTAGTTTGGTAGCAATTCACTACATTCTATTTTAGTTTTTGAAATACAATACTTCTCAAATTACTTGCGCATGTAACTGCTTTAAGTAGCATTACATTGTAACGTATTATAATCAAGCTACACCTTATACTCTGTATCAAACAAGTCGCACAATTGACACCCGTGAATTTTTTGATTCCCCGGGAAAATTAACTTAAAGCACTGCCATGTGACATACGCACGAAGAAAACATTATTGAATGAAATGATGAAATTCCATTCTTGCACCACAACAACGTTTATCCATTGTGATAACGTGTACTATTTATTATTTATGTAAATAACCTAGCGCCGGTGACGCTCAGCGTTATCTCTGTCCCCAAGGACAAGACTCGTCTATTTTCAAAAACGGAAACGCACGAGTTCTCATTACATCGACTCTCGTATCAGATTTTACTCTGCCACATGATGTAGGTGAAAATTACGTTACATTTTTCCCTTTTATTTTAAGGTCACATTGACATCGGTATGACATATTTTCAGCCCACAAATAAGATTGAGCGTACTCGTAATTTGTAATCTACTTGCTAAATGGCAGCAGCATAATGCTTTGTATTATTGCGAATGATTTTCATTTCAGTACATAATTTAGCGTTTTATGCACCTTTCAACGAAATCCAACACACGTCATAATAGGATCTCATAATTTTATACACACGTACATAGTTTTTCGGAAAACGAGTTATAACCGTTTTATTTATATTATAAGTGAGAAATATGAGAAAACACGCGTTACATTAATTATAAGACAAAACTTTGGTTTTATTTAAAGGGATGATATAATTTGATCATCACAGATATAATTGATCTATTGTAAATGTGCACGTTTTTAAATAAACGACGTTTTATTTATATTTAATATATGATATATGTATACATATATTCATTGTTCCGTCTATATTAGTTGATCAATGGATAAATTATAAATTAACTGTATTCAAAGTAACACTGTTATTATTTTTAAGCATACTAAATCAATATTCGGTATTCAAAAATAATATTTATTATTTGGTCTTTTCTTTTAACGATTGATGACTAATATAAATAATATTAAATCTTGGTTGCTTGATTGCGCCCTTATTCATTAGGTTAGGTAAGTATAAGAAAAAGTAGCACGAGGCTAGCGAAGGAAACGTAACGCGGCAACTCTTTCCAAAAAAAAAATACTCATACAAAAAAAAACATTACAGTCGAATTGAGAACTTCCTTCTTTTTTTGAAGTCGGTTAAAAATAGGTCAAATGTCAATGCGAAAACTAAAAATAGGCTACCATTTTTTCTTCTCATCGTATCACACCCATCCATCACGTATAAAATTTCAGCGTATTATTTCAGTAGCCTGATTTGCCAAATTGCGCAGCATTACGCTAAACAAACTGTAAAAATATTCTGTCGTAAGACTATTTAAATTGTTATACATAATTGTCATGAGCAATTTTTTAAATAAACACAAAAAAACCATTAAACATGTCAACACAAAGAGTATTTCTTCTTGTTTAACTTCGAGATTATTATTATAAATTACAAAGTTTTTTAATTTAGCTTCAATAGTAAATTAAATAATAATTTGGAAAGACTTACAATTTAGACATAATTTTTTTGGTTTATTAATTAATTTATAATTTTTGTGGCGATTAGTCGACGGTTGTAGTAACTATCTCGAGTGGGTTCATGTGAGTCAAATGACAGCTCATTTGGAGACCACTCATTAGGTGATTAACCAAACCAATTAATCAGAAACTCATACAAACAGAAGTTTTTAAGTCGAAACTACTTACTTCGTTTGAGAGATATAAAAACATGAGAGACAAACAATAGCTTAATAAAAATAGATATGTATGATTTTCTAGCGAATTGCCCACCACAGCAAAGATTGTTACCATTTATGGAAACTGATCATATTGGAATACAAGCGCATAATGTTGCAGCATTGCGGATACCGGTTGTTATGGTCATTAACAATGAATTCAGCATCTGTGTTTGGTAGCAGTAGAACTCCTTGTGAAAGTGTAGTACTGCCACCATACCTATTTCTGCTGCCAAGCAGTAATATCAGCATTACTGTGTTCTGGTTTTGGGTAAGGGTGCTGGTGAAATTACAGGCACATGAGACTTATCCCTTATGACTTAGCAACGGGCGCAGTGGCAGTGCCCCTCAGATCTTTGTGATTTAAAATTTTGAGTGGCACTGCAACTGTGATGGACAGGCGTGTAGCTTTTATCAGGCGCACGACTTGTTCGTGCCGTCACTTAATATTACAAATAGGCCCTACTGCAAATACATCTCATCGATGTCTTATGAAATCTGTTGGGATACAAGCCACGAGTAGGTATATGTGAATGAGTAAACTGGGATGATATCGACATTAATCCTCCTACAGTTTGCGTTACGTGCAATTTGTGATGGAATAAGTTAGCCCCACGTGACTCTTGTTTTTGAACATTCGACTCTCACTTCAACAGTAGCATCTGACCTTTATCAAATTGAACCGTATTAACTGTGTAAATCTTGAATCTAAATATCTAAACGATGAAAAGTACAAATTTTATTTTGGTTTAAGCTAAAATGATTTATTTAATTTACTCAAGTCAGTGAATTTATAATAAAATTAAATATTTTACTTATACAATGGCTTGAAATTTAGTAGCTGTAGAGCTGGTTGTGAAAGAATTTGTCCAGGGAAGTGCTATGCCTAGTGTTGTAACTTGAAAAAAAACCAAATGTTTTTTTCACATTTTTGTAAAAAAAACATGAGAAAAAATACAGCGGGTTTTCTTTTCTAAGAAAACCAGGGGTTTTATTTTCTTAATTTGTTTTTTTTTTCCGGAATTAGTAAAATGGAATAACTGAAATAAAATAAGATACTGAATAATTCTATGTAAATGTAGCTATATAAGGAATATGTGCGATGTGGAAAGAAATATCGGTATCGCTCTTAGATAAATAAATAAGCAGTGTTTTTATCACTAATCATCAAAGTAGCGATGCAACAGCAATCGATTGATTTAAAAAAAAGGTAAAATGTTATAATCCCCGCATTTTCCCCACATAGCGTCAATCCCACAAACAGTCGAGTTGAAATTCGCCGAGATTTGAAGAATTCGCCACAAATTGACAAATACTATGAGTGTATTTTGAGCAATTTATCTATGAAGAAATATTAACCACAAAAGAGAAAATGTAGTGAAAAAAATATTATTGTCATATTTTTATTTTCATACTTTTAGGAAAAAAAACCTACACCAGAAAAAAACTGTTTTTTTTTTTTCATTGTTTTTTTTCAGCTCAGAAAAACAAAACAGTTTTTTAACAACACTACCTATGCGACCTTACCTATTTCTGCCGCCAAGCATTCAAGCACACAGTAATATCCACATTACTGCGTTCCGGTTTTGAAAGGAGACGGGTGCAGTGAGAGTACCCCTCATATCTTTGCGATTTAAAGTGACACTGATATCTACGGACAGGTTTTTAACTTACCAGGCGTACGAGTTGTTTGTCCGAACACTTGACATAATTAAAAAAGTTGCTAACTGTCAATCAAAAATTAAAAAATGTAGGATCATGATGAGCACGATTTTAAATATGTAGTCATTTATTTTGGAGTGGTAATATTTTACTGTGTTATTTTTGAGGAAAAGGCTTTCATTGCCATAGGCGCAGAAATTTCAAAATTGAAAGTTTAATACAGGCATGTAGGTATTATTTTACTTTCCCGCCCGCTACTTTATCGAGGTTATACATTTATTTGAAAAGTAAAGAACAAAATTCGCCACAAAAATGTTGATGAAAACCGTTTTGAAGAGAACCAAGTCTGTAATATACTCGTAACCTGATATTTTTCATGATAGAATTCACTCTGCTTAAACATCGTTTTCATTTCCATTTTAGCAGCATTTAGTTAATTTTTCAACCGACTTCAAAAAGAGGAGGAGGTTCTCAATTCGACTGTATTTTTTTTCTTTGTATGTATGTTACGCAATAACTTGTAATAATTTGTAACCCGATTGTGATTTTTTTTGTTCGAAAGAGGGTACTTCAGTATTATTTAAACTTAAAGAAAATATTCCACCTCTAAGGGTGGCAAACTTGTTGCAAAACAAAGTAAAGTGTGTCCTTAGTAATTGACTTTTGGGATACCTAGAAGATAGCTACCTCCACAGTGATCGTTAATACGGATTTCGTCAAGGAGGGATTACAGGTGGGTGACCTTCTTGCGTATATCTTCTACCTGTGGAGAGAAGCTATTGCTCTGTGCGTACCGTAGATATATCTAAGTAATATATATATATTATTA